TGGAAACATTGGAGAATTCGATAGTAAAAGACTCGAACTGAAACTCGAATTTCTTTTTTTAATTTCTGAAAAATACAAAAAAAAAAAAAATTTTAGTCATTTTACCAAAAAAAAAAAAATGTTGAGGATAATTATTATTATTATTTTACCAGCCAATGACATTTTGGATTTTTTATCGGTAATTAATATTTCATTTTTCTCTTTGATGACTTCGTCTGCTGTTGTTTTTATTTCATCCCAATCTTCCATAAGATCGTTAATTGTCGTTCTCTGTGACGTAATCGTAAATCTTATGACGTATTTGTCCTTAATAAATCATAAAAATAATAATAATAATTATTATTATTATGACAATAATATTGGAGCATTTGCTAAATAAATACGCATGAGATTAAGGATTTTAAATCTCCCCTTTTTTAAGTTTATTTTAGGTTAACGGTTAAAATAAAAAAGAAACCTTTAAGGAAGCAGGTACGCAATGAATTTTCCCTTTTAAATTTAATTTTTTTAATAATTTTTCCGTCAATTCGTTATCACCGATGAGTCTAAAAACGACCAAACCAAGATGTCTCGCTGCCGGAATTTCAAATCTCGAATCTTCCATTATTAATCTTTCAAATTTTTCAGCTAAATTTACACTCTGAAAAAAAAAAAAAACAAAAAAAAGTCTTAATGATGATAATAATATTAGAAACTTAATAAAATATTAATAATTTATATTATTACGTTACGAATGTGATTTTGAAGTCCTTTAACACCGAATGATCTTATAACGAACCATAATTTCAAAGCTCTAAATCTTTTACTCAATGGTATTTGCCAATGCTGTAAAATTAATTATTATTATTATTATTATTATTTCACTTAAATATTTTTTTATTATTTTAAAATAACAAATGAAAAAATAGAAATTTTTTTTTTTTTTTTTAACGAACCATGTAATCAATGGCAAGACCTGAAATGTCATCGTCAAAATCGTTTCGTAAATAATAATAATAATGATAAAATTATTAAAACTAATTAATGAGATGATCTAATACCTGAATTTTCATGTTTTAAATAAAGAGGATCGACGTTAAAGGTACGATGTAACGTTTTGCAATTTTTTACCCTAAAAAGAGAGAGAAAAATCAATAAACGATCGAATCGAACAAAAATATTTAATAAAAAAAAATTTTAATTTTTAAAAACCGACAATGAGTCATTAAAAAATTTTTTTTTTTTTTTTGCACAATAATAATAATACTTCTTAAAGTTAAAATGCTGAGAAATCAAAAAAAAAAAAATTTTTTTAAAGTTGAATGACATGGTTTTAAAATCAAGAATCGTTTTTTTTTTTTTTT